AGAAAAAGGAAAAATAAAATCTTTAAAAAAAAAAAAAGAAATTAAAATCTTCTTTCATTCATTAATTCCACTTACAAAAATTTGCCTTTTAGTCATATCACGTAACTATTCAAATTTATTAGTATGAAGAAGCTTATTGTAGCATTTTTATAACGGGAAACCTGAAGGGATTATAAATATCCATCAGGAAGGGACTGGTTAAGTAAATTGGTTCATTTTACACAGTAAATATTGATGTAATTGTATATGCATTAAAGAAATCGGATATGTTATTAAATTAAAAAGGCATATTACAGAACATTATATATAGTTTGGTCACATTTGTGTAAAATAATACAAAAACTCACATATATACTTAAATGTGCATAGAAAATGCATTTTTAATGGCGGATATTTCTAGGGACTAGAATTGAGGAGAGGGGTAATAAGGTATTTTTTACTTCTTGCTTTATACGCTTTATAGTATTTTTGTTTTCCAAGAGAATTATATTATTTTCAAAATAGACAAAGAAAGAAAGAAACTTACAGTCTCTGTGATAGATTGTAAAAATCATTCCCTTGCCTGTGTCCTTGCTTGCGAGTTGTCCTCTCCCGCACTGACTCTGGGCCTGGCCATGAAACTTGAGTTGGCCAATGGGACAGTACAAATGTGATGCAAAGACTTAAAAAGAAAAATGCACATTAGGGCTGCCCTCTGTTTTGCTGTTCTTGGGATCCTTGGAACAGGTCATGTAAAGAGACCCAAGCCAACCTGTTGGATGATGAGAAACACGTGACCCAGCACCCTAGCTGCCAGCCAGGCAACTGCTGGACGTCTGAAGGAGGCCATCCGCCGCTAGCTGTCCACAGTTGCACGAGTGAGATCTGGCTGAGCCTTGTGCTGCAGTCTTATTAGCTTATAATTGGCTTTGTTTCTCTTACGTGTCGTATTTCTCTCTCTCTGATGATCTGCCCTTTCTCTTTCGCCTATCCAAATCTCTGTCTTCATGCAGCTTTTCCTGACTACTCAAGCTCTTCAATGTATCTCTTTTCTACATTCTTCTATTACTTTTACTCAGTACCATGTAATTTAGTACTTACATGCTATTTTTTTCTTTTACTGTGTATGTGTTAGTCTTTTCTATCTAACTAAATAATAAACTCCTTGATTGTAAAGATTGTATTTCACATTAGTTTCTCTGGCCTTCATAACACTTAGCACTTGATAGAATTGTGTGTGGCAACCAGGTTTTCTCCTTCCATCTAGTATCTTCAAAATACATGTTGCCTAATTGCAGTGCAGGTGTCACCAATAGCAAGATACCCCACTGCTGCAAGAGAACAGCTACACAAACATAAGCTGCATTTGTTTGTGCCCTATAGCTATCTCATTTCCATGGAAATTATGTATCCTTCACTAAGGAAGTAAAAAAATATATAGCAGGTTTGTGTGTGTGTGTGTGTATGTGTGTGTGTATAAACATGAAAAAATGTTAGTGATATACCTTTCCCCCTAAAACAACCAATCACCGTAAAATATACCTCAAATTTCTATAAATTTGTATAGTTTACCAAATACATTCAGCTTATTTAGTTATGTGAGATAAATAAAGGATTTCTTTTATACTTGAAAGGTTAAATTTGGTTAAATGAGAGAATTTATATTTTAAAAGTCTTTCCTTTTGCTACTAAACATTTAACCGTTTTCCTTGCTTTAGGTATTTTGGTAGACATTTGGTATAGGAATAATTCTACGGCAGGCACTTCTTAATTGAAAACAGTGCTAGTGGTGATCACAGGGGTATTGATTCAGACGAAGCGGTACTAGCACAGAGATAGACAGTTAGACTGATGGAAAGGAGTAAGTAAAGAGCCCCAAAACAGAAACACTGTATTTTGTCTGGCAACCCCAAGTAGAAAGGATGGCCTAAATTTATAATCTGTGAAGCTGGAGATGGTACATGGGAGTTCATTGTACTATTTTCCACTTTTGTATAAGTTTGAAACTTTCTAACGTGAAAAAGATTTTTAAAGACGTAACTTAAAAAATAGAGATACTTTTCACAAAAGCAACAAAAATATGAGACCTTGCAATAATGTGAACCAAGAAATATTAGACCTTTATGGAAAAAGTTGTAAATTTTACTTAGTGACAATGTTTTTAACATAAATGGAAAGAGATACTATTGACACTAAAAATTATTTAAAACTGTCAATTATCCAAGTAGATCTCTAGATTCCTTCCCATTAGAACCCATTAGGGCTTTTGTTTTGTTTTGTTTTTGGTAGAACTTTGATAAGCTGATTTTAAAATTTATATGCAAGTATAAGGAACCAAGAATAGCCAGGGTACTCCCAAAAAAGAAGAAACATGCCAGACTTATAAAGTTATAGTAATTAATAGAATGTTAATGAGGAAGTAGAAAAACAGACGAGTGGAATCGAACAAAGAGCTGAGACACAACATAAGGGGAAACTGATGACTGCAATTCTAGTTCTATCATACTAGGCAAAAGGGTATATATGGTATATAACTCTATGCTTGTCCACTATTCCCCAGCGTGGATGACTAGGCAAATAAATGAAATAAAAGCCTAGCACCGACGGACACGATGGACCCAGGGCAGGTAGCAACCACCCTGGCGCCGAGGGACAATATTTTGATCATCAATGCTTTCTATCGAAAGATTAGAGATCAAAAGGGGGAAATGACAAATTGAAATGGCAAGCAGTAGGATATTTTGGAGTATATGAGGAAGCCATTTGGTATAAACCTAATTCAGCCTGACTTTGTTTTTTCCAAAAGGGCCTGACTGTGGCCATTGAGCATGCATTTGTATATCTGCTTAGACATTTTGAGATAAAGGTGCAACTTCCCTCCCCCTCCCAACGTTGGCATCTCCTTAAAGATTAAGCATCTTTCCTTAGGCTGGGAACCGATTGCAGCGCTCATCTGTGACCGCTCAGCTCGAGGCAACAGACCTGCCACCCTGCAGGGTTCACCGAGACAGCAGACCTATCTGCTGTTTCCATCAATCGCTGTGCCGACAGAGCAGCCTTGTGACTATTGTCAAAGGGACATTTCAGTCATATGTGAAACATCCTCTTTGAGGGTATATAACCACCCTGTATACCCCCACTTCTTTGGAGTGCTCTGTTCCTTTGTGGAAAGACTCTCCTAGGTTATAATCCTCAGATTTCAGCTCAGAATAAACTCACCTAAATTTTCAAAAAAAAAGGGTATATATGTGTTTATTTTAAATCATTCAGATAGAATTTGTTATACATATCTGAAATTCAATTTTGGTTATTTTAAAGAGTTAAATTTGAAAGGCAAAATTTTAAATCTTTTAAAAGACTATATTGTATAGATGAATTTCTTTAAAAAGACAGAAAAAGCACTGAACATAAAGATTAAGATTGATAAGTTTGATAATTACTTATAAAAAAATTAAAAATGAGAAGGCAAGTCCTAGACTGGGATAAGAAGTGTACCACACTGTAATCAATGAACGATTATTGTTCTTTTATAAAACAATGACTTCTGTCAGTACAACTCTCACAAGATTTAGTTGACTTTCTCCGTTTGATTCAAGTTAGCTTTCAAGTACCAGTAGCCCATACCCACAGTTGTTTGAGACATGCCTCTCTCTCTCTTCTAGACTTTATTACAGATACCTTGAGCTTATCAGGTTTCCACAAGACAGCCAAATCCTTAGATTCTTTTCCCTGATCTATTTTTTCCCTCTGAAAGAATGTACTTGGGGCAATTTTTGTATATTTACTCACAGGCTTTAATGAAGAAGTTTTGCTCTGAGGATGAAACTCAGTTTTAAGTGGCATTTCTAGCTAACATTTCTCAATTGTATCTTTTACACTTATGCATTAGAAATTGCTATCTGTCCTGAAAGTCCTGGAATTTGCAGATTTTCTCTTTTCAACCCTGCTTATAAGTAGTTCTTTTCTGAGTTCATCTCTGTCTTGTATTTTATTAAGTACAGCTAATAGCATCCAGGGCTAGTAGCATACTATTTTTCCTGGCTTCTTTGTATAAATCCACATTGTCTGTTTTCCAAGTTATTGCAGGTAAATGCAGTTTTGTCACTGTATTATATGTGTCATCATTTTTCCAGCCTTTGGTAACAGTTACTTGCCATTCAGTCCCAACGCCAGTGTCACGTATGTTGTGCATTTGTTATGGCAATAACCTGCTCCTAGAACCGGTTTCTCTAGTGGCTTGTCCTGAGTAAGGCTGCTGTAACAACTCTGAAATGTTAGTGCCTAACTACAATAGAGATTGCTTTGTAGCTCCCAGGTTAGCTCCAGGTTGTAGTTCTGAGGCTCCATTCAGTGTTTTACTGTTTTCCGGGCCGAGGAGCAGCCCTGTGTTGTCTTAGGTCAGGTGGAAATGTGAAAATACTGACCCATGTAATATCTCTTGAATATTCCCAGACATGGTGTAGATAACTTAGAACTGGATTTCATTGGCCAAAAAGTTATATGCCAGGCCCAGAGTTTGTATGGTAGGGATGTGTTTGTCTCTGAGGGATGCACTGTGAGTCACCAGCCCAAGGACAGGGACGTATGGTTTCACCTTTGGGGAGACGACAGAATAGTTGAGAACAACAATACCACTTGCACATCAGCTTGTAGATATATTCCCTAAAGCAGTGTTTTCCGAGTGCTGAGTTCTTAGTGAAGATAAACATTTGGAAGTTAACGGTATGTAAGTGAGTAGGAATAAGATTCCCCAGGGAGAGGAAGGAGCGTGCTAGAAACCTCCTGGCAGAGGCATCTACAACAGAAACTAAGATGAGCTGTCAGTGGTGCAGGGAAGAATAGGAAAGAGCACATCCTCCACCTTGTTAGAGAACTATTTCTTCTCCAAAAATTTAAACTTTTTTAAAAAAGAAAGCTCGAATGCAAATACGTTAAATCTATCCAGTTCGTACCATCACAAGACTTAATTTCCAAATAACGTAAGAGATTTAAAATTAATTTATGTGTATTTCTTGTTACAGAGATTTGCCACAATATGGACAGAAGCAGTGGCAGTCCTATTTTGGAAGAACTTTTGATGTTTACACCAAACTCTGGAAGTTCCAGCAGCAGCATCGGTAAAGGAATTTTATGTTAAAGGAGAGTGGAGGTCCATTTAAACCTTTACTACCAACCACAGTGCTTTCTCTCAGTGCATTTTAATGTATTTCATCTTCATTACCCAAATGAAAACAAATTGACTTTTTAAAAATTTATTTAAGGTTTTAAAATGTAATATTCTTATCTGATTTTTAAAGACAATATTTTATCTGAAATGGTTCAGCTTAACTCTAACATAGGCAGGCTGATTCATGGTGTCATTCTAAAATAGATGTTGTTTATTAGCCAAAGCTATTTGGGGGTTTTGCTTCTAATTTTCATGAACATAGCTCAAAGAAATTTCTTTTTATATCTCAGCTTACTTTAAATAGACGTTTAATAGATGCTTTTTGAATTTAATTGAATGATTATGTTGAAATCTCATGAAAAATTCATGAACCTGAATTCATGAATTCAGTATTTCAAGCTGAATTGGGTGGTATTTTATCCTATTAAATTTACAGATTTGGTTATTTTTGAAATTTATGTCTCATTTCTATTTTCTTATCTCCTATATAAAACAGACAAGTCTTGGATAATCGGTATGGCTTGAAGCGGTGGCAAATAGGGGAAATTGCTTCTAAGATTGGGCAGCTATACTACCATTATTAGTAAGTGAACTGAATATGGAAAAAATAAACCGTTGTCCTGATTTAAACACAGCATGCAGAAATATGCGTAATGTACTTACTTGGTAGGAGAGAAAACTAAAGAGTTACAAATGAAGCCCAATAGTTCAGATCATATTGATCAAGACAGTGTTATGAAATGACCTTCCGTAATCAAAGTAACATTATTTGCTTCAAAGCCTCACCTTCCAAACAGTTCATTTGGTCAGACTCATTTATAGCTTAAAGAAGTGTGATCTTGGTTTTAGATAAATGATAAATCCTAAACGAGTTTATAGTTCTTAACAGCTTCACTTAAATTTTGATATTATACAGAGACATGTCATAGCTCGTGTGTTTGAGTGGTTTTCAGGAGGATACTTGAAAACTCAGACTTCTAGCATATGTCTGAAAGCTCACATGAAGTGCATAAAGATACTTTTGATTATATCCTTAGAGCAATGACATCTATATAGTCCCACCCATGAGTCAAGGGAAGAAGAGAACTCCTTTTAGGAATCTAGCTCTCATTATCATGAAGTAATATCAGGTATACCATAAAAAGACTTGGACCATTTGTAATTTAATAGGCCAGAAAATTCCTTCCCCTCCCTGTCTTTTGGCATGCTACCCAAAATTCCCACCATTAGAATCACTCTCTTGGGTAGAATATTTTCTTAAGAAGTCTCTTGTAAAACTAGAAATGTTAAACAGAGAACCTAATTCATTGCATCCTCTGAAGATTAATATGGATTAGTGCATTTCTGAGTCCTGTGAGGAAAAGCTAAAGGGCCAAAGGACACGTGACTGTATAGATTTGGGGAAGGTCATGGAGGCTCTGGTGCTGGAGAGAGAGATTGAACTGGGTGGAATGCTGTCAGTCCCTTTGAGGAATGAGAATAGTGTGCACTTGGGGTGCCATCAGGGGAGGCCTGGGAGCAGCCGGCAGGTATTTCTTTTCGATTATTATTTACACATTTTAAGGGTGATATGATTATTGCTTTGCTGATTCAGATTTAGGAGAGTCACTCCCATCCCCTCATGTAGACGAATAGAGGAATAATGGAACAAATATTTATCATGGTAAAGAGTTTGAGACACTGTCAAATTTAAGGATATTTTCTCTCATAGCCTACGCACATCTGAGACCAGCTATCTGAATGAGGCATTCTCCTTCTATTCTGCGATCAGACAGAGATCCTATTATTCTCAAGTCAATAAAGAGGACAGGTATGCACCCACTATGTTTTTAGAAAGAGGAAGATAAAATATTCAAAATTTTTAGTGTGTGTGGAAATTATGCAGAAAAACATATTTGTTTATAACTTTTATTCATTTAATGGGCTTTAGTGAGTACCTACTCTATCCTTGGCCTTCTTAAACATACAGGGGTATGTTACCTAAAAGCAATAGATATTGTAGATGTTGTAAGAGATGTCACAGTCCCAGACAGAGTCAGAGCACAGAGGAGGGCGGATCAGTTCTTTATGAAAGATCGGATCACACAAAGTTTCATAGAAAAGAAACAACTCCGGAGTGAGGCTTAACTGATAACCTTTGTTCTTTTTAGCTGCATGATCTCTTTTTCTTTTTTGAAGATTTTATTTTTCCTTTTTCTCTCCAAAGCCCCCTGGTACATAGTTGTATATTTTAGTTGTGGGTCCCTTTAGTTGTGGCATATGGGATGCCGCCTCAACTTGGCCTGGCGAGCGGTGCCCTGTCTGCGCCCAGGATCCGAACCAGTGAAACTTAACCACTCGGCCCCGGCCTGTGTGATCTTATTTCACATGCCTTCAAAAGCCTGTTGACAACTGTCATGAAGGACTAAAGAAAAGGCTGCTAATGCTGTTCAAATTTTCTTTTATAAACCCAGTACTGTTTTGCAGTTTTATAGCTCCATTGTTAGGGAGAAAAAATCGTGTTTTTCATTCCCAGTAGTAATCTATTGAGCATTTATTGTATATGGTGTGGTAGATGCTTGGGTGAGTGAAGGAAAAAACAAAAGAAGAAGGTGTGCAGGTGTGCTCTTGCCCTTTCAGACGGTTATCTTCTCATGGGAGTTACAGACATATTTGGGGTACAGGTAGATTGTGATGTTATAAATTCCATATGAGGATGGAATTATTGAAGAAATCAGGGAGCTGCTCAAGAATCTTTGTTGCTGGCATTCCTAGAATTATTGGAAGAGAAAATTCAGGCATAGAAGATCTGAATGTTCTCAGCTGCCAGCGACAGAACTCAGAGTTGTTATACAGCGAAAGATTATATTTTCTTAGCAATAGAAGAAAACATGGTTTTCACATATTTTTCTAGAGAACACTTTGTGGTTGGCTATCATTCGATTTCCAGCTAAACAGCAACATTTTTGGAAAGCCCCACTCTTGTAAATCCCCTTCATTCCCTTGCAAATCATGTTCAAACTTGTCTGGAGGAGTTTCTTTTGATACAAGTAAGCTGTGTAGATGCTGAATTCTGCATTTTACCCCCAAGGTCTTTTGGTCATTGTGTTACTTCGCTGTTCTATCAGAAGTTCCATCTGTTACTTTTCCTTCAGATTTTCTTATGGTTTTCTTATGGTTTGCTTCACATATTTTCACTACAGATATATTTCCTCCAACCTCCCCCCCTGTTTTTTGCATACATATATGATTTATCTGAATTCTTGGTAAGACAAATTGTATCTCTTAAAGTGCAAAAGGGCTATGTAACAATTTATCAGTATGGAAAAGACATAGAAGCAATTTTAAGCAGCAGTGAAATAACTTGTTCAATTCACTGTTCTGTATTTTCTAATTTGCAAATTGGCCTTGGGCCCCTTGGCTTAAAACCCAGCAGTTTAATTTATTAAAATCATTTCCTATCCTAATAGCAAACACCACATATGAATTGTTTTCCTGTGCTGCCTCCTAGAGCAGGGCAGATGAACAGAAGTGGAATTATTTGGAACCAAGATGACAAAATCTCTTGGGGCCACTAACTTAGCATCAAAGGACAATCCAGCGTGCAGAATCTTGACCTTGTTCCCTGTACCTTAGGGAGGCCTTTGTTCAATTTGTAGGTGGTTTGTTTCTTAGTTCACACAGGGCTAGGGGGCCAGTCAAGGTGGCAGTTAGCAACAGCTGCTAAAATCAGCAGCCGCTAGATTAAAGCTAAGTAAGAAGGTATTCCACAATTTCACAGTTGCTTTAAAAAATCTCTCCTTAAAGGGGCGAGTTCTTTCTGCACTGTCTCAGTACCTAAGGATTGTGTCAAAGCCAGGAGGAATGGTATGTTCCAGCAGTCAGCAGCGTGACTGCCTGTCACTAAGCATAGATAACTCTCAGAATGTGTCATGCCATGGGCTCATCCTGCTCAGTAGAGGAGACGTTACCACTTACGCACTTGTCCTGGGAGCTGCAAACCCCAGCTGTTGCACATGACTGAGGCTGAACCTGGTCAGAGTTAGAGGTGGAGAAGGTAAAGTTTCTGAGCGCACTGAAGTTGGAGATTTTGCAGCTAGCCACCTGGAAAAACATTTCTCACGCAGCTATATACTTAAAGAGTCGGTGACCTACAAGTAGTGGGCCTGGCAGGTTGGAAAAAGCTGCAATTCTGGAGTGCAAGAAGAACTTTGTCAAGAGAATCATGATATCAACTCTAGTGGTGACAGTATTGAAATTTTTTATAGCAGGAAACGTGAATCTAAACTTGAAGACCTTGACACTTCCTAGTAGTAGCGTTTATAAGGGAGATCTGATGTCGACCTTTCCAGTGAGGGTCACAGGATGACTTTTCACAGGGGAGTGGTTGGTTTGCTGATGTAAAGGATTTTTCCAGGAAGAGGAAAGTTGAAACTAGAAGGAAGGGGTGGTATACAAAGATTGGTGAGAAAAAGTTATCCCCTTGTTTCCTAAAGAAGCACAGACTTCATGAGACAGTAATCATTGTAATAATGACTAATTGAGGTTATCAAGATAAAATGGGACCAAATCCTGGATGAAAATAACATGGAAGAAGAGAAAGAATTAGATCACACTAATAAGATCCATTTATTATTCAGAAGAAGCTTAGAACAAGTGAAGTTTTCTTGTTAAAATATTAAGAAAAATATTTTAAAGAACATAAGGAGAATGTGTAACTTCGAAATAGGTAGAAGGGGGAGGGACGTGAATAGTAAAATTATGATCATTACAATAAAAGGTAGAAAAGGAATGTATACTAAAAAGTATGATTGGCACAAGATAAAGTAGAAACAAGTCCAAGCACATTGGTAATCACAGTAAATGAGAGTGATCTAAACTTCCTAGGTCAAAGATTATCAGTATGCATTTTTAAGAAAAATCCAATAATATGCTGTTTACAAGATATCCTCCTAAGATATAAGGTACACAGAAAAACATAAATGAGACAGACACTAAGGGGAAGAAATGCTGCTGTATTTATCTGTACATTATTTATATTTAAGGCAGAAAATGTTATTAAGGATAGAGGTTTACTTCATAAAGATAAAAAGGAGCAACTCAGGAAAGTATAAAAATCTTAAACTTGTATATGCCCAATAGTGTAGCATTATAATAAAGAAAGCAAAAGATGGCATATTTTCAGGGGGAAATTGAGAAACGGTCTAATATACATGGAAATTTTTAATATACCATACTTAATAATTTATCAAGAAGACAAATTATAAGATTTCAGTAGCATAATTAAAAAGTTGTTCTAATGTGCATAAAATTGCATGCAACAATAAGTGAATGTACATCATTTTCGAGCTGATATTAAACTTGTATGAAATTGACTTATACTTGCCACAAAACAGGTTTTGATAACTTCGAGTATATGTTTCTAACCTTCGGGCCATTTTATTAAAAATTAAGAATGAAAACATAGTTTTTAAAAGTCAATAAATTAGTCAATTAGTGGACACATTTCTAAATAATTCATGGATCAAAGAGGATTTTTAAAAAATTCTATTATGGAAAATGTCAAGAATATACTGTTGTAAGGTTATTATATTTGTAATGTAGGAAGTGGAAATTGGGACTGTCAGGGTTGAATTGATAAGGGATAAGCATAAAGGATCAGGTATGAAAGGACGCGAAATTGGTTGGAAATAGTCTTTGATAAGGATGCGTATTGCTGCTCCTAGCAACCACTAAAAGAACAATAATGAGGAGATATAAGTAAGAAGCCAACAGGGGATGTAAAGTGGGACACTACAGTATATTTCATTAACAAAAGAAAGCAAGAAAGGAGCAATAGAGGAACACAGGCACAGAAGGGGCAATTGGAAAACAAATAGCAAGGTGGGAGACACACACCCACCCACCCAAAGTAACAATATCGTTAAGTGTAAATGGTCCAAGTACCTGAGTGGACAAAGCAGAGATTGTCAAAGTGGTTGAAAAAGCAAGACCTAACTATACACAGTCTACAAAAGATGCATTAAAATAAAAAGGCACAGCTGCTTGAAAGTAGAGTGATAGAAAAAGATACGGCATACAAACAGTAAGTGTAAGAAAACTGGCTTGATTATATTAATGTCAGAAAAGTAAGATTTCAAAACAAAGAATGTTCTTCCGGGACCTCTTTCCACCTCCTATTTTCCTGCCTGTCGTCTTCTACTCTTCCTTGTAGTCTTGATTTAAACATTACTTTCTAGGAAGCCTTCTGGCACCCAAGATCCAGTCCTTTAGGCTCAAATAGCATCCTTTATTTCTCTTATCGTTATAATTATTCCACTGTATTTTAAGTATTGATCTTGTCAACATTTTTAGTACTTTTCTTTTTGTAAGAGCTGTGAAGAAGGGGCCGTGTCCATAGTTGTTTGTTGTTTGTCATTCTGCTTTCAGCACGTAGCATCAGGTCTGATGCATCGAAGTTCTAGATGTTTGTTCAGTGATTGAATATATGAGTGAACAACATAATGAATCAGTGAGTAAGAAATGTGTTAAAAGAGTGTAAGTTATGTGCAGAAATGTTTATAACTGTGCCAAATAGGATCAAAAGAGCTTAAAAGCTATCAGAAAGTTGGAAAAATCAAAAAGCATCTTTCCTTTTTTAATCTAATGAGTAATTTTCCATTTATCTACCGTAGACCTGAGTTGGTAGTTAAGAAGCTACGATACTATGCGAGGTTTATAGTAGTTTGTCTTCTTCTCAACAAAATGGATGTTGTGAAGGATCTGGTGAAGGTAAGTGTCCTTTAAAATAATCAAAATCCTAATCGCTGATTGTGTATGGGTAATTTTGTTTTTTAGAAATAGATTTTGGACCAGCCTGGTGGCACAGTGGTTAAGTTCACACGTTCTGCTTCAGCGGCCTGGGGTTCACTGGTTCAGATCTCAGGTGTAGACCTGTGCACTGCTTATCAAGCCATGCTGTGGCAGGCGTCTCACATATAAAGTAGAGGAAGATGGGCACAGATGTTAGCTCAGGGCTAATCTTCCTCAAAAAAATAAATAAATAAAAATAGATTCAGGTAAAAATAATTTTTGATATATCTAAATTATTACAACATTCAGAATATGGTAGCTTATGACAAGGGTAATGATAACAAAATTTTCCAATTCTCTTCATATTTCAAACACTCACTAATCAGAGATAATTATCTTAGTTCCTTGCTTTTATCTCTTCAGCATGTTTTACATTTTATCATCCACATCAGTGGATGGTTAGGAAATGCAAATGAAAGTTAAAATATTTAGTTTAAGAGAAAATAATTGAAAGGTCAGGTCAAAAAAAGTATATAATGTTTTACAAAGGTATTGTGAATGAATTTTGGTTTTTCCGTCCCTTTAGTATGTCTGCATGTCTCTGTCCTTCATTAACCTGGGTAACTTCATTAACTCAGATAATTAAGAGTTAACTGCATTCAGGATCCACTTAATAACTATAATTGTTGCATCCTGCGTTCTAGTGGCACTCAGTATTCAGTTTGTGGTTTCAATGGCATACTTCTTAATTTTTGGTATTCAAGTATAACATGCTAATTTTGACAAGTCCTTCTCTGTCGTCTTCCACCTCCGGTTGTTAATAAGACTATTTCCAAAAAACAGGATGATATAAATCCAAAGAAAATCAGCTAAACAGTATTTATTTGTAACTGTTACAAGAGTTCTCTTTTCTTTTTCTTTTTTTTTGAGGAAAATCAGCCCTGAGCTAACCATCTGCCAATCCTCCTCTTTTTGCTGAGGAAGACTGGCCCTGAGCTAACATCTGTGCCCATCTTCCTCTACTTTATATGTGGGACGCCTACCACAGCATGGCTTGCCAAGCAGTGCCATGTCCGCACCTGGGATCCGAACCAACGGACCCCAGGCCGCCAAAGCGGAACGTGCACAGTTAACCGCTGCGCCACCAGGCTGGCCCCACAAGAGTTTTCTATTAATAAATTGATAGTTGATAATAGCAGTGAGTAGGCCCGGGTTACTGTGGATCTCTCCGAAGATCTTATTGATGTGTGTCATTCTGGAGTTTTTGATTTTTGAAGCAAATCCATGTAGTTTTCATTCTTTGTTTTGGGCTATAATTGGGACTGTATATTGATAATAATCAAACTTCTTAACTATATCAATTTCTGCCAGGAATATGATACACTATAGCAATCTATTTTTATGTTTTTTTCCATAACCATTTTTCTTTGTGGTATTTTAAAATCAGGAATTGTCCGATGAAATTGAAGATTACACTCACCGCTTTAATACTGAAGATCAGGTGGAATGGAACTTGGTGCTTCAAGAAGTAGCAGCTTTCATTGAGGTCAGTTTTTTGACCAGAAAGGTTCTCATAATGATGGACAAGTAAATGCCTATGTGGTATACATTTTTATCATGTGTATATGTCAAGAGGAAGGAATAATTTCTTATATTGACATTTCATCTTGGCTGTCCATTATTTATTGCTTTTTTCCACAGGCGGACCCCGTAATGGTATTAAATGATGACAACACCATTGTGATCACGTCTAATCGCCTTGCTGAGACAGGAGCCCCATTGCTGGAACAGGGCATGATCGTGGGGCAGTTGTCTCTGGCCGATGCGCTCATTATTGGTAATTGTAATAACCAGGTAAAGAATTGTGGAGGAATTATGCTTAAAATGCACTTGGAAAAATAGTGCTTTTGATTATTACAGAATTATTATTTCCCTGTAAATATCCTAACATCCATTTGTGAGGAAATGGTTAATTAAATTATGCTGTGTCCATATATGGACTATATTACAGACATTTAAATGGTTTAGAAAGAATTTTTAATCACAAAGGAAGATACTTGTGATATGGTAAGAGAAAATAAACTTATTATGGAACTTTGTAAACAGAATTATTTCATATATGTTAAAATGTCTATATACATATATGCGCAGGAAAAAGACTAGCAAGAAACTTACCAATATCATAAAAGATTTATCTCTGAATAGCAGAATTATAGATGATTTTTATTTTCTTTCTTACAACTTTCTAAATCTGTGTATTACTTTTACAATCAGGCAAAAAGTGGGGAGGAATTATTTTTAAGTACATTTGTCAAAAGCAAATTTCAGCTATTTTTTCATGACAGAACAGTCCCATATGATGAGGATTTAATGTACTGGAAATTATGGTATATTGGAAAAGTCACCAGAGAATACGTTTTTAATACGCATTATTTGCACAAATTTAAATTTTGGGTCCTTCCCTTACACCAATCATTTTTGTTAACTTTTTCTAGTTCTCCAATTTTTGCTTTTATAGCCATTAATTTGCAAATTTCTAAAATAAAACATTTTACTGTAAATTAAAATATTGCCTTCCTAAAGTTCTATAGAAGTATTATTCAGAGTAGAAAAGGATACTGTAGTATCATTCTATAGTGCCAAAACATAAGGGACAGGTTATAAAATGTAGGCCATAGCTGTTTTCAGCCTGGCTGTTCTGCCAAAAGTTAGCATATTTTATAGGACCTAATATAGATCTCTGTGTTTACATGACTACTTTTTGTTTGTAAAAATACCTGAGGAAATTGATAGATTGATAGATATATAGATAGATAACGTGATAAAGCAAATATAGAAAAATGTTAATGTTATAGGATCTAGATAATGAGCATACAAGTGTCACTGTATAATTCTTTCAATTTTCTGTCATTTGAAATTTTTCATAATAAAATACTGGAGAATAAAACACCCAGAGTCATAAAGTACACATGAATGTCAAGAGTAATAATACAATTAAAGACTTCAAGGTCTGAGTACCACGTTAACGGTCAGGTTTGTTTTCCTTGCAGGTTAAGTTCAGTGAACTAACTGTTGACATGTTCCGGATGTTACAAGCCCTGGAAAGGGAGCCAATGAATTTAGCTTCCCAGATGAATAAGCCAGGAATGCAGGTGATCTTCTTACATTTGCAGTTTTGCTAACACTCGTGCTGCTCCTGCTCCTCATGGAATGTATGGTTCAGCAAATGCCAGGAGTGCGAATGAAGAATTCTCTTGATGACACATAGGAGAAATAGATGAGTGTAACAGTAATGCTGAGCAAAAACAAGATATTTGATGAAGAGGATAGAAAAAATAAGCATTGATAATTCATCTGTCAAATACAGCTTGTGTGTCTTGTTTTCTGTGTGTAAATATAGGAATCAGCTGACAAGCCTACCAGACGAGAAAACCCCCACAAGTATCTGCTGTACAAACCAACCTTCAGCCAACTCTACACGTTCTTAGCAGCATCTTTTAAGGTATATATGACCCAGTACTTTTTACTGTATGGGGAAAGTGTGCCCTAAGTAGAATCTGAGAGTCACTCTTCTCTTCGAATATCTGAGTCAAGAATTTAGGTAAAACATGAAAACGAAAACTCCCTTTAGAATATCCTAATCATAGCTACTTTTGGAATGGAAATTGCTCGTGATGTTATGAATATTTCTTACCATTAATTAATGAGGATATTGACTATCATTCTCCTTCCTCCAGATTTTTATACTAAACTACTTTAGGCGTAACTACTTTAATGCAGAACTAAAAAACAGGAGCAGGTTGCATAAGCTTATAATATATGCAAACAGCTCTGGGGAACATTTTGGTCATCTGAAGGAGCTATGAGAAGTAGGGACTTCCTCCCAAAGTTTATACAGAGAAAGCCATGCATGGGACTTTGTCTTTTATACCTATAGTAAGGATCTTTACTGCTCCATTTCAAGTTATTCAGAGAACATTCTCTAAATGATGGGGGTTTTGAAGCAGAGAATGTCTTCAAAACTTTTGGCAATGGTTACAGATTATAGATTAGTAATGAATCTTTGCTGTGTAGACAGGTATAAGTTGGAACCAACAAGAGTGACTCTTCTCTTGGAGAAGACAATAATATGTTAAATTAGCTTCTTGTTTTTCCCACTACTTTGTAGTATCGTGAGCTTTAAGTAAAACTGTTATTTTCCCTGTTTGTTGTTTTGTATATGTGATTTTCTTCCATTTCAGGAGCTGCCTGCCAATAGTGTGCTTCTGATTTACCTGTCAGCCACTGGCGTTTTCCCCACAGGTCGTTCTGATAGTGAAGGTACAGTAAAGGAATGCTCCCCATTGTGAGCAGGGCTTGAATTCTCTTCATTTTCTACGAGACAGTGGCCCTTAGCCCACAGACCATCTCAAGCTTCTAGAAAGACTTCCAAATTAGAAACCTGGTCTATTTGTTGAATTGGCAATCTTGTAGATACCCCAGTCTGTTTTATTTGCTGAAATATTGTATGATGAAGTTCACAAATTATCAGCAAATTCACATCCTAAATGCGTACTTTACTGTCCAATTGGCCAAAATCACGTTATATATATGTGTGTATGTAACCAAGCCTAGTCATCAGCTTCACATCATTGACTTTTTCTGAGCTTTCACTGCATTAGGGAATCTGGTCAGCGGCTTCATTGGGGCTGAAAGTCTTTGTAGAAATCAGTGCAGTTTTATAACTGTGAAAGTTCAAGTCCTTGTCATGATTTTGTTTTCTGTCCTCTCTTTAGTTTTTATGGATTCAACCTGTAAAATATTGGGATGCTATTTCAGAATTTAAAAAACTGTCCAGAATATATGAAATTGATCAGAAGAGATGAGTAACTTGGATGTAAAATAAGGCAATTAAATCTTTGTTTGGACAAAAAAAAGTTTCTTAAACATCCTTAACATTTCCTCCTCATCTGTTTGTTGAAATCTGCATTCCTTTATACAGTGCATGTCCCTGCCATCTTCCTTGCATGACCTACAAATCCTCTTAAGTGTTCGAATGAAAACAACACAAAATAAATCTCAAAGTCTTTTCATTGAAGTGATTTTTTTAAGGGGTAAAATATAACACAACATTAAAAGTGATGCAAAATTGTGAAATCATGAACTTCTTTAATTTTTTTTGTAATAAAGTTAGTATTTTTATTTATAAATAATTATTTCCATGTCCTATAACATATATACTGTTGAATCATTTTGTGGGCCCCTGCTTAACTTACTGACCTCTTGTTTTACTTACTTTTTTCAAAGTACCGTAGTTACTGAGTGGTCCTTTGAGAGAGGTTATTCTTAACATCCTGCAGTTACTATTCCATGTAGATAAGAGTTGAACTAACTGATAAGTTACTTCAAAGGCTTACTTCAAAACCAGAACTGCAGTGGTTGATATGATAGTAATAATAATGGATTTTTTCACATATGAAATTTGGCAATTCTTTTAAGTTTTGGAAGTTTTTTCTTTCGAGTTTTTGTCAATGGTAATTTTTGAGTTCCACTGAAAATTTTCCCTGGATTTTACAATTAGTGGCTCACTTAAAATTATATTAAAGAAATTATTGGGGCTGGCTCAGTGGTGCAGTGGTTAAGTTCTCATGTTCTGCTTTGGCAGCCTGGGGTTCACTGGTTCTGATCCTGGATGCAGACCTATGCATCGCTTTTCAAGCCATGCTGTGGCAGGTGTCCCACATATAAAGTAGAGGAAGGTGGGCACGGATGCTAGCTCAGGGCCAGTGTTACTCAGCAAAAAAGAGGAGGATTGGCAGTGGGTATTAGCTCAGGGCTCATCTTCCTCAAGAAAAAAAAAAAGGAAAGAAGTTATGAGGACTTCATTCTGCAACTTTCTTAAATTTGTTAAACTTGAGATTTTAATTTTGCTTGAAATATAAAGATCATTTTGAACACCCTGGATCTCCATACCTTTTATTATCCAGAGTAATGGGATGCAGTAAATTCTTATTTCATTTCTCATTATATTCTGTTTGAAGAACTGATGAATAATTAAATGATTTTTTAAAATATTGAAACAGGCAACATGCTGAAGTCATTTAAATACTGCATTAAACTAGACTGTAAATTTTAAAGTAGTTAAAATGTTTTGTAATTGTCTTCCACTGCTATCAATGAGAGATTCACACAATACCTTTGTATTTGAATATCAGATCAATGTTACTCTCCAGTTGAAGTCTAGGATTCTTCCCTTTGTTTTTATAGGTCCTTATGATTTTGGAGGGGTACTTACTAATAGTAACCGGGATATTATAAATGGAGATGCCATCCATAAACGAAATCAATCCCACAAGGAAATGCACTGGTATGTATTCTGGTATCTCCTTCTATTGTTAAAATTATAGTTCTCTCCTAAAATATTAAGTGAAATGGGGACTTTTTTCCTGGTACTAAAAATGTTCCCTCAGACTACCATTGATAACACTTATTTGGATTCCAGCAATATTTCAGGCTCTGACTATACTAGGGAATTAGAATTTTGGGGGGCAAGCCTGGTGGTGCAGCGGTTAAGTGCGCACGTTCTGCTTTGGTGGCCCAGGGTTCGCCGGTTCAGATCCTGGGTGCGGACATGGCACCACTTGGCAAGCCATGCTGTGGTAGGCGTCCCACATATAAAATAGAGGAAGATGGGCACAGATGTTAGCTCAGGGCCAGTCTTCCTCAGCAAAAAGAGGAGGATTGGCAGCAGATGTTAGCTCAGGACTAATCTTCCTCAAAAAAATGAAAAGAATTTTTGGCTGATATTTATTTTTAAAATTTTCATCGAGTTTCTATTATATGTCAGATACCATTCAGTCACTGGGGATATGTCAGTAAAAATTACATTCAAGTTGCAGGAGACTGTAAATATATGCATAGATAAACAATATGTCAGGGCATGATACATGTTAACATCAGTACAAACTTTTCAATATAAGGTTCTGTCAGTTTGACAAAGTATAAATGAAGTTGGTTATATGATTTCAAGTAGATTTCATCCAGGACAGTTTGCTCTTTTTCTAAGTATAACTCACAAGTATAATTCACTGCTTGGGCCATTATTGGCTCTAGAATTTCTCTAGCTGAAACATAGCAGTCTGGTTATAAAGGAAACTGGATTGTTTGAAACTGCATTTCTAATAGCCCCTTACATAAAAATCAACTGTTCATCTTAAAGGAAATGGGGAAGGAAGGGCAGAGAGGGAGATGTTTCAAATTATATGTATAATAGTTAACGGTCCCCCAAGCCATATGTTGGTGCTGTCGTTGACCTTAGTTGTAAATGATTTGTATTAAGAAAGTTTGTATTTGAAATATATTTCAAGGTTTGATGACATTGCCTTTTGACACATGATTTTATATATTTATATTGACATTTCCATTAATATTTATACACACACACATTGTCCACTAAGCCATGGGAAGGAGCACGCCTACCGAAACTGTGACGTTCTTAAGCAGTGGCTCTCCAACGCGTGTTGCTGGACTTCAGTTCAGTAGATCTTCTGTGCGCCAGAGAATCCATGTTTAACAAGTACCCTGATGATTCTGATGCAGATGTCCAGAGGAGACATAAAGACCAGTAAAAAGGGAGCCCCTGCTTATTGTCTGCAATATTAAGATGTAGCTTGAAATATTAAAAATCTTTAAAATAGAGATAGATTTTGAAAGACTCATTCAAATACAAATCTGGTTGTGTTATTACATCGTATTTTCAAAACGTTCTTAGAAGGAGCTTTTAAATATTAAAGTACCTAAAAGCTGCCTTCTGAGATTTCCATTGGTATATTTACTTCATCTATAAATATGTAGACTTCTTTTTAGCTTGACTATTCTTGAATAATAATAATCTCTGAATATTTTTCCCAAATAAAACTGCTAAGTTGTCTATTCCAGTAAATGCAGTCATTTTTTTGTGTTTTGCTTAATTAATCTTTGTTTTTCTCTCAGTGCTATGATGGGAGGGAGATGTGAGCAGATCACACTGAAGAATAAGATTTCTGAGGCTTCGCGGGTATAGTTATACGATTATTCATTGTCGCTGTTGTTGCTTTCCCAGCCTTCACCCTGGAGACCTCTACCCTTTCACAAGGAAGCCCCTGTTCATCATTGTGGACTCCTCCAATAGCGTTGCGTATAAGGTGAGTTCCGTGAGCGCTGTTGCACGTTACACATTATGGCACCATCCTGAGGTAACCAATCTTAACATGTGCCTTTTATTTTGCTTTATTTTATTTAATTTTACAGTTTGTATTTAGTCTTTCTTTTCTTTTGAGGTTGTGCATGCTAGTCAGGATCTGGTGCTATGAATAGAAACAAGAAGAAAACGCATGAATGGACACTCAGTGGAAAATAATAAATCCTCCTGCAGGAAAAAAAAATTCAAGATTTCCAAGATCTCTGGTGGGAGGTTTATTTTTGTTATCTAACCCAGAATCATTTTCTTTTATAGAGGTAGACGTATATGGGCGAATTTTATTTTCCAGTTTTCAGACTCTTCCCCCTTCTACACACTGAGCTGCTATAGTTTAAGTTAAATTTCCATCCCATGTTATACAGTTACGGTCATTGAATATCGGCATAAATTGTTTTAGATGCACTTAATTTTTTTTTTAATCTGTGACAATAAGTAAAAAAAGATGGGCCCTGAATGCTGAAATAAGTAACAGGGATCTAACTTGAAAAGCCTTTGTTTTATAGTTTGCTATTGAAGCGGTGGTTTTCAATGATTGTACAAAGAATGCCAGCAGTGAAACACTTTGAAGTTGGAAATCACAATTCAAACTATAGGAACTTACAGGAAAATGAAAACAGAATCTTTGAAGTCCTTTGTATGTGGTTGGGAGATTTCATTAGTGAACAATGTGTTCAGAAACATGCTGAGATCTGCCACTTAAAACTGTTTCTGTTGTGAGTGTTCACATAATTAGATGGAGAAGCAAACATTAGTAGGTTTATTTCAAGAGAGTAATGGAAATATCTGGTAGCCAAGAGAGCTGACCCCAAGCATATGTTTCCCATCTAATTTTCATGTTTGGTTTCACTTGTTAAAGTCTGAATTCCAAGAGCATTTAACCCACCCTAAATTTTTCAGCTTATTTCCTGCTACCCATTTTGTCAAGTTTAAGATTACAACTTTTGTTTTTAGGAAAACTAGCTGCGTACTTTCTTAAATTATGTGTGTGATTTTAATCTTTTTGAGGGGGCGGGAGGCTGCTGACGGAAAAGGTTTATTGGCTACCTCAGTTAAACTTGTAAAACCAGAAGAGTCCAGGCATTTTGTATCTTCACAGAATCCGAAAGAAGCATTCTGTCGTTGTCCATGGAGCTGAATCACTTGCTACAGTTTGTGGCAGAATTTGTTGACACGCCAGGTCAAGTGTATTGCTTAATAGAATCTAGCATGCATTTAGAATATTTTAGCCATCTGTTAATTTCTCTCAATTTAATTGGACATTATTTGATACTAGCTTTTATAATCTCAAGAATACCGTTCATTGTATGTGCCTGCTATTTCCAGAGTGCTATTTAGAATGAGTGTTGGATGCTGATTTTAAAAAACGCCATATGCATAATTGGAAATGTATTTACTTAGTTACGTATCAGAATTTAATTCTAGATTTCAATATTCTGACACCCAGGATAACAGTGGAATAGAAGGGTTTTTTTGTTTGTTTGCTTTTGATGGCACATGCAGTATCATCCCCCTAAAAAATTAAATTATCCAGAACATACTGATCTTCAGAAATGAAATGGGGAGCCTGTATGCAATGGGCAAATCAGAGTATGGCACAGACTAGTTTGGTCTTTGTAAAAATTAGTACTATTTAATGCCTCTAAATCAAATATGCAGTTCTCTGTGTTAACATATGAAGGTGTGTGATATTTTCTTTTCCCACAAAGCATGTGTAAAAAGTCTTAAATTACCATTTTGCAAGTTTCTAATGAAAAAGGAGAACTGGGCATCTGATGTATTATTTCTTGAGCACCTACTTTGTTTCATGTGTATGTTTTATGAACATATATGTGTTTTCTAAATGTTGCTTCATTTAGATGCAAGTAACCATGCATATAGTTTAAAACTGTAGTTCTCAGCTCTTTCTCTGCATCAGAAACATTCAGAGACCTTTTCAAAACCGCTTGTACCTGGGCCCCAACTCTGGCGATTCTGACGCGCTTGACCTGGAATGAGTGTCAGGTTAGCAGTATAATTACAGTGTGCTGTCAGGGTGAGAGCCGCTCGGTCAACAGGTTCCACCCAGTGTTACTAAAACAGCAGGCTCCTGCTCTCTTGCCTGACTCCTGTTTGCCTCTTCCCAGAGGCCACCATTTACATATTTTTTAGCTGATTTTTTTGGTATTTAACCACCATTTTTCTAAACAACATACTGGTATTGATATTTCTTGATGCTTCAGTTTTAGCCATTATGTATTGATTTTTCATTATGGAAGAGAAATTCAGCTCTCTTCCCTCTTCCTATCCCCAACTCAGAATTATATCTTTTACATCCTTTTATCCACACAATAGACTTAGATCATAATTTTGATTCACTGAATATTTAGTGCTATTATTAGGACTATAAAATGCTTTTAACAGCTAAGCCACATAGTAACCTTTTTCTCCTAGTTCTATGCAACTTTCTCCTTTTCCTGGAGCAGGTGATTGTCTATCTTTGTTCCCTTGTTTTCTTCTGAGCTTATTACTGGTTCAACCCCAGTCTCCTCAGTAACTGTCTAAATCTTCTTTCAGGTTGTTCAGGTGCGTCAGTCTCTTAATTTTATCTGCTTAATGAGTTATCTCCCAGAGCCACTGCACTGGTGCCCTCTCCACATGCTACACACCTCTCATGCCAGAATCTCTTTCATTATTGTCTTGGGAATTCTTCACTTCTCTTTTGTGTTGGAGCCCGTTCCCTGAATCCTGTGTCTTCCTCTTGGACACTCTTCATTTATTCTCTTATTTTGGTTTATTCTCTCATTTTGGTGTAGTATCTGCTGTAGTAGCTTCCTGGGAAAGGGTGAATGTGAAGTTAAATATTTGAGGTCTTGCACGTCTGCAGATGTCTTTAATTTACCCCCACACTTTAATGATGGTTTTGGTATAGATTAGAAATTATTTCCCTTCAGAATTTGGAAGGCACTGTTTTGCATTGCTTTCTAGCTTCCAGTATTTCTTCAGAGGTACAAAGCATTCTAATTCTGGATTCTTTTATGTGACCTGTTTTCAGTCTTTGGAAGGTTATAGAATCCTCTCTGTGTCCCCAGTGTTTTTCAGCTACTTAACAGTGTGCCCTGGTCTGGGTCTGCTCTTAACCATGGTGCTTGGTGTGTGCTTGGCGAGTCCTTTCAGTCTGGAGACTCTGCCCGTTTTCCTGAGCTGTTCCGTTGATTTCCTCCTCCGTCTTCTCTGTTCTGTCTTTTGAGAATTTTTGCCGTTTATCCAGCGGACCTCCTGGTCTAGTCCTCTGGTTTTCTTGCCCTTTACTTTTCACCTTCTGGTCTTTTTGTTATTTAGGAAATTCCCTTACATTTGTCTTCTAACCCTTTTATTGAGATTTTTTATTTGTTCTCTAGATGTTTCTTTCATAAAGATGTAGATGTACATGTGTGTATAAAACTTACATACATATACATATGTAGTTATCTTGGTTTTTTTATTGCAGTAACATTGGTTTATAACATTATATAAATTTCAGGTGTACATTGCTGTGTAACTTGGTTTTTATCCTAGGTGAAATATCTTCTCTTACCTTTGAGAATATGAGTGATCATTTTTAAAATTCTCCCTGAATGGTACCTGTTTCCTCCATGTTGATTTTTTCTATTTTTGCCTGTATGTTTCTTATTAGAGACTTTCCTCAGAGTATCATAATTTTTGCTCATCTGCTCAGATTTAAGAGTGGAAGCTAGCAAAATGATCAGAATCTCCGAGGTTGTGGATAGGGCTTGTCACACTGAGCTGCTCAGCGTGACAGTCTTGCTGGGCCATTTTGTTCAGTAATCTCTGATGTTGGTATCGTGGTCTGGTCATAGTCACCAGAGCTGACTCAACCATTCTCCCTGGGATGTAATGGTCTGACTCTCAGTATTATACTGTTTTCTCTAAAGTCTGTGTGTGTTTTTATTTGTATATACATGTATCGTTATGTCCCAAGTGCCTCACACTTAAAAGATTCTTAATAAAATATGTGGAATGGTTAAATGAAGATAGGCACTATTATCCTTATTTTATAGTTGAGGAAACTGCCTATGGAGGTCGAGTATCTTGCCTAATTGGTTCCAGCAGTCTTTCTCATTCCAAAGCCCAAGGTTTTTCCGCACTAGGAAAAGAGGAGCTTTGCGTGCTAGTCTAAGCCTCATTCCAGAGGAGAGTGATTGAAATGCCAAGATCTGTGTCACGAGTGTGGTCCACATTTGGCTTTCAGATTTCCATCAGGGAATAAGCAGGTTGAAGTGGCTTTGTCTGTAGTGATGTCGTACTAGTGGGAGTAAGAAAAATCCCCTAGTCGTTCTGCGATACTTCATCGTGCTTTCTTTTCTTTGGAAGAAGAAAATACTTTGAGTATTTAAATATCTATGACAGAGCTGGATCCCTGCCAGTGAACATGACTTACGCATTTCTCAAAAGAGTCGTATTTATCTAAACAGCCTCGTCCTGAAGTATTTGACTTTAGGCTGCACATTGCTGCGGTCTGTTAAGGCATTCACCTTCATGACAAGGTTACGTAAGAGCTCTTCTGCCAGTTAGCCTCACTCATTCCATTTCTTTCTTGCTACTTTGAAAGACCGTCTTTTTGTTTTTGGCGTTCTGCAATTATACTCTCATACCTCTAGGTTTTGTTTCCTTACATTTAACCTGTTGGGATTAGGTTGGAATTTTTCATTATTGCTGGAAAATTCTCAGCCACTATCTCTTCAGCCGTTGGCTGCACCCCAGCCTCCCTCTCAGCTCCTTCTGGAAGTCTGGTTATGTATATACTTAACATCTCTGACCTCTCTTCTGTTTTTTCTCTTTTTGAGATTTGGATAATTTCTTCTGCTCTATCTTTCAGGTCACAAGTTTTTTCTTTAGCTGTGACTAACTTGCTATTAAATTCATTTATTGAGTTTTATGTTGGCTGTGGCATTTTTCACTTCTAGA